GTACACTGACACGGATTCCCTGCTGATGGAGATTCGAAATCGAGGACGTGTGGAGGACATGAAAAAACGCCTCGATTTGTATGACACCAGTGACTACCCCAAGGACCATGCCATACACAGCACGGTAAATAAAAAGGTCCTAGGTAAGATGAAGGACGAGTGTGCTGGCACGCCCATAGCCGAGTACATAGGTTTGAGGCCTAAGATGTACTCCATCCTGAAGGCCGACAATGGTGAGATCCGGAAGACGAAGGGTGTTAAGAAGTACGTGGTGAAACAACACATCAAACACGCCAGATTCAAGGAAGCCCTGTTCAAGACCCGTACCTTCAGGCATAAAATGAACACGCTTAGAAGTGATGGGCATAGGATATACGGACTGACTATAAACAAGACGTCCCTGTCGCCAATGGACACTAAACGTTGGATAGCTGTTGATGGGATCAACACGTACGCGTACGGGCATGAGAAAATTGAACCAAGAACATAGGTGTACATAGGCGGCATGTCACGGAGCCAGAGAAAGTTTGAGGCTATTTACTACAGCCCGCGTGGGTACTGGAAAGGAGCTAGCGCGTACATAAGCTGGCTAAAATGGCGCGAGTACCCCCGGAGGAGCCAAAGCGTGGCTTGAAAAACAAGCCCTGTGGCAGATCTATTTACCAGCACCACGCTGCGTGCCTAGAAGGAAGTTCGGTATTACCATAACCAATAGCGTTCACCAGGCCGACCTCCTATTCCTACCCCACGATAAGAGGTACAAGTATGCCTTAACCGTCGTGGACGTGGCCAGTCGCTACAAGGAAGCCGAACCCTTGACCGCTGAAAAGACTCGGTCCAGTTAGCCCGCGGATTCGAACGTATATACAAACCGAGAGTACGCTGACGTGGCCAACAGAACTGCAAGTTGACCCCGGTGGGAGTTCATGGGCGCCGTGTCACACCTGCTGGATAAACACGACACCAAGGTCAGGCGTGGCACGGCCGGAGCCCATCGCAGCCAAGCCATAGTTGAGAGATTCAATAGGAATTTGGCTGAGCGCTTATTCGGCCATCAGTATGCGAGAGAGATGGCCAACCCAGGGAAACGATCGACTGAATGGGTAGCGCGGCTACCTCAGGTGGTGTCTGCCATCAACCTTGAAATCACCCGTCTCACCGGCAAGAAGCCGGCCGACGCTATCAAACTAAAATCAATACTGGCCGAGTCTGCTGCACCGTTGCGTGGGAGGAGAAACAAATACCAGATAGGTCCCTCGTGAGGTACCTATACCAGCCGGGAGAACACGAGGGTGAGACGTTTAGGCGGACATGTTTCAAGCAGTATAAACTCGACCCCGCATGGTATTACACCAGCCCAGGTCTGTCGTGGGATGCCTTGCTGAAAAAGACCGCAGTTAAGTTGGAATTGCTCACAGATTACGACATGCACCTATTCATTGAGAAAGGCTTGCGAGGCGGGATTTCCATGGCAACCAAACGATACGCGAAAGCAAATAAACAATACGTGAAGGGCTACGACCCGAGCAAGCCAACCAATCATATTCTCTACCTCGACGCCAACAACCTGTACGGCTGGGCCATGAGCCAGTATCTACCAACAGGGGGATTCGAATGGGAATCGCAGGAGGTTGATGTTATGAGCATCGCACCAGATTTGAACAAAGGTTATATCCTCGAGGTGGACTTGGAATACCCCCAAGGCATTACACACATCACACAACAGCTACCCCCTGGCCCCCGAACGTATGAGGGTTAACCCAGACTGGATGTCTGAGTACCATCATAACTTGTTAGGTGGGCGGGTGGCAGACGTTGAAAAACTCATGCCCAACTTAATGAATAAGACCAAGTACATCGTTCACTATCGCAACCTACAGCTGTACCTGTCGTTGGGTATGAGGCTGACCAAAATACACAGGGTGCTCGTGTTCAACCAGAGCCCCTGGATGGAGCCATACATCAGAATGAACACAGACCTCCGAAAGCTTGCCACCAGTGACTTTGAGAAAAATCTCTACAAACTCATGAACAACTCAGTGTTTGGTAAGACTATGGAGAACCTGAGGAAACACGTGACCGTGAAGCTGGTTCGGTCGAATGAGGAAGACAAGCTCAGGAGGCTGATAGCCAGCCCGGCATTCAACCATAGCAAAATATTCACCGACGACCTGGTTGCCCTACACATGAAGAAAAGCCACATCAAATTCAACCGACCTGTTTACGTGGGGATGAGCATCCTCGATTTATCCAAACACCTGATGAACGACTTTTACTACAACGAGCTGAAGAAACAGTACGACGACAGGTGTGAAGTGCTGTACACTGACACGGATTCCCTGCTGATGGAGATTCGAATCGAGGACGTGTACGAGGACATGAAAAAACACCTCGATTTGTATGACACCAGTGACTACCCCAAGGACCATGCCATACACAGCACGGTAAATAAAAAGGTCCTAGGTAAGATGAAGGACGAGTGTGCTGGCACGCCCATAGCCGAGTACATAGGTTTGAGGCCTAAGATGTACTCCATCCTGAAGGCCGACAATGGTGAGATCCGGAAGACGAAGGGTGTTAAGAAGTACGTGGTGAAACAACACATCAAACACGCCAGATTCAAGGAAGCCCTGTTCAAGACCCGTACCTTCAGGCATAAAATGAACACGCTTAGAAGTGATGGGCATAGGATATACGGACTGACTATAAACAAGACGTCCCTGTCGCCAATGGACACTAAACGTTGGATAGCTGTTGATGGGATCAACACGTACGCGTACGGGCATGAGAAAATTGAACCAAGAACATAGGTGTACATAGGCGGCATGTCACGGAGCCAGAGAAAGTTTGAGGCTATTTACTACAGCCCGCGTGGGTACTGGAAAGGAGCTAGCGCCGTACATAAGCTGGCTAAAATGGCGCGAGTACCCCCGGAGGAGCCAAAGCGTGGCTTGAAAAACAAGCCCTGTGGCAGATCTATTTACCAGCACCACGCTGCGTGCCTAGAAGGAAGTTCGGTATTACCATAACCAATAGCGTTCACCAGGCCGACCTCCTATTCCTACCCCACGATAAGAGGTACAAGTATGCCTTAACCGTCGTGGACGTGGCCAGTCGCTACAAGGAAGCCGAACCCTTGACCGCGAAAGACTCGGTCCAGTTAGCCCGCGGATTCGAACGTATATACAAACCGAGTACGCTGACGTGGCCAACAGAACTGCAAGTTGACCCCGGGTGGGAGTTCATGGGCGCCGTGTCACACCTGCTGGATAAACACGACACCAAGGTCAGGCGTGGCACGGCCGGAGCCCATCGCAGCCAAGCCATAGTTGAGAGATTCAATAGGAATTTGGCTGAGCGCTTATTCGGCCATCAGTATGCGAGAGAGATGGCCAACCCAGGGAAACGATCGACTGAATGGGTAGCGCGGCTACCTCAGGTGGTGTCTGCCATCAACCTTGAAATCACCCGTCTCACCGGCAAGAAGCCGGCCGACGCTATCAAACTAAAATCAATACTGGCCGAGTCTGCTGCACCGTTGCGTGGGAAGGAGAAACAAATACCAGATAGGTCCCTCGTGAGGTACCTATACCAGCCGGGAGAACACGAGGGTGATAGCCGTAAGCGAGCCACCGATCCGATATGGTCAGTCAAAACTTACAACATAGATAAAGTGGACATCAAAGCTGACGAGCTGAACTTGTACTACTTGAGGGACGGGCCAGGTAGAGGGTTCGTTAGACAGGAATTATTGATCGTACCGTACGGCACAATGTTACCTCCTGCCAACGTGGCATAGCGGCACAGTAGTGCCACGTGTGGACGGGAAGTTAACTGGGGGCTCAAAAGTAGTAGATATACTGGGGCGAGATCTAAGGGCCTGACAAAAGCTTTATTTGTGAAATAAGGCTTTGCAGAGGCTTTTGTTGGACTTGATCCCGTACCGCTATTACTACTACTACTGTTGACTTGTCCTGTTTCGCAAGTGTGAAACTCGGATATTGCGGTTTTGTCGAGCTGTTATCACAGGTGATGCAACAGGTCGCGGACGATCAGCAACACTTCCGGTAGCCCGAAAACGTTGTCTGAGTCGACTTACAGTGGATGGATGCACATTAAAGTGCCTGGCAATCATCACATCTGAAGCACCTTGGCTGACCATACCGATAACCTGATTCCTTTCGTCTTGTGTCAAGTGTGGCATTTTCTCAAAGTGATTGAGTTCCACAATTCCTTGTGCTTTTACAGGGCCTGGGTGCAGGTAATGCATGTGCACAATGTGTTTCATGAATGTGGTTGTGTTTACGAGAAATGTCAAAGGTTCAATTTTAAGTAGCAAAGTTTATGTGAGAGGAATGCTCCGGGACTCGAACTCGAAATGGTCCAGAATAACAGCTTTTTTATCCCTACATCCTCTGTATCGTGGGGAAAAATCTTCAATAGAACTTTTGTAAGTTTCAGGACAACAAATACCAATTGTGTTTTTAATGGCTTACAGTATAGATGATAAAATTACTGAATATACTGTTAAACCACAATTAAATGAGGCATTACAAATGTTCATTGTTGTTTAGATGCTTTATGTATACTACATATGTTTATAAACACATTGTTGTCAATCCTGTCAACCACTGGTTTGCATGGTCCAAAGTACATTCAAATCACTCACTCAAGTGGATCCTATGAAGATCTGGGTTAGAGCTGGTCTTCAGCAACCCATGCTTGTTGTAAGATGCGACTAACAGGATCAGGTTGTTCGGATTTGTGCCCTTGGATAACACATGTCGTCGCATCCAGTTTGTTTAGGCTGATGCTCATAATGTCAGTCACTGGATTGTCTGGTCCAGACTTGAGTATTTACAGTCTGTCGTCAGTCTGTTAGAAGCAAACACACAAACAGGATATGGTGTACTGATAGTAGGGCCATGTCAGATGTATTTCTTCTTCAGTGGAGACTTTTCTTAATAAGTCACTTTACATCAACAGTGAATATATTTCAGTGGCACACAGATGGCGAGATTACAGAACTTGAACCAGAATGCTATCGGTAGGTTCACATGTTATGATTTCAACATTTTGGGGCTGAGTTATTTTTGTCCATACTAGAAATATAATACATAAATACTACTTTGAATTGTTTCTCAGACCTATATTGTAGGGCTGTAACGATGCACTATCGATGCATTGCAATTGTTGAGTCTCCAATAGCAATTAATCAATGGTTTAAGCGAAAAACTATCGATGCATCGATAGTATGTGTGACTATAGATAGTTTAGTAATTGACTTTCGTTGATAAATGAGCAGACTTGCAGCTTCATTGAGTTTATGTTTTAACTGTTTACTTGATCTAGGTTTCAAGTTTCTTGTCAGTTATTAAAAGAGACAGAAACTACTTCAACTTGTTTTTATTTCATATAAACTATACATTCATATGGGAAATGACTTCAAATGAGACAATTCAAGGAGAAAAAAACTATAGTATTGCAATAGTTGGTCGCAATAGACTATCGCTATCGCAATAGCTGTTCCCCCTCAATAGTCACCCCTACTATATTGCCATCATTGCTACATTTACAGAACATTTACCAGAACATGATCTTAGGTTTGTTTTGACTGTGTTTTGATAGGCAATATCTTCCATAGCTGTATGATAAAGTAACACTGATGTTACATGAACGTTTGACTCATTTTTCAGCGCCATATACAGAGGATGTTAGAATAGGAGGGATGAGAGCCTTCAATGTGGCAAATTCTCCTAATGCTGTAGTCGCTGAGAAGGTAGTCATCAACCAGAACAGTAAGTATAAAAACGGATTAGTGACATAATCTAAACAAATATTTTATCATCTATAAATACGATCGTTACATCTACATAGAAGCTCTTTTCATCTTCGTAGAAAGTCTTTTCATCTTGGTAGAAGATACTTACATCGATATAGATGATACTATCATTGAGCTCTTCAGGACTTATATTTATCAAAACTTTGAAAGTCACAGGAAAATGAACGGAACTGGTTCAGCCGTCTAGTTAGGAACACCACTGATGTTTTTAATCACATATCTGACAACAATCAGTAATGACCATTCATTTTTCTCTTTTTAAAATTTCATTTTGATTTAAGACTACAGTTTTATAAGTGTTCATACCCAGTAATCAAAAGTACTCAGTTGCTTCCAGCCAATCAGTGAGAAACATAAACAACTGTCTGTTGCTCAAGACAGTGAAGGCTCATATGATCATGCTTTCAGCTCCTGTGGTTACCCGATTGGACAAGATAAAGGGTATGTTTCATTAAATCTTATAAGTATGAATATATTGACAGGTATCTCCATTTTTTAGAGCAACCATTCTTTTTTAAATTAATTTTTATATGTATTGAAAAAGAAGTTTTTTGGTTTAAAAAGTGTTTTTCTTGACTCACCTGAATTTATTGTTATATATGTGTTTATACCAGGGCATATTGTCAATGTCACCTTTGGGGTGGTGGGGTAGCCTAATGGTTGAAGCGTCCGCTTGGCACGCTGAAGACCCAGGTTCGATTCCCCACATGGGTACAAGCCCATTTCTGGTGTCACCTGCCGTGATATTGCTGAAATATTGCTAAAAGCGGCATAAAACCATACTCACTCACTCACTCACTCACTGAGTATTCTTTTGCACCACTGGATAACATTAGGTCCCCTAAACATCATGGAAACTAGGTCATTAAAACAGTGAAGTTGTAAACTGCTGTGACCAGTATGTATTATGTATTTGTTATCAATCAAATGAACATCAATCAATGTGATTTGGATAAAATGACATAAATCAACCAAATCAGCAAGCCTGAGTACCCAATCCAATTTGTCCATTCTTATTACCATTGTATGACATGAGGACGGGGTCTGTGAAAGGTCAAGGTCACTAGAGGTCAAATTATGCATCATGCTTCAAATTTCATGAAATTTCTGATTCATTTCTGAGGAATCATTTTACATGTTCACTGTAGGTGAAAACTTTGAAACATGGTTCAAATTTCCTGTAATATTCAATTAATATGTTACCAGTTTTACAATAAGTACTGAACTCAAAAACAGTCATATATGGCATGTTTGGTCAAATGTCAAGGCGAAATTCATTCATAATAGAAGTTGTGAAGAGTTTCATTTCAACGGTGGTATTAGCAGTGTTTGAAACATCATCAAAGTTTGGCACTCAGTATTGTTCTCACTTGTGTTTTGGTGACACTGAAGGTCAAGGCCATCCCAGAAAATATCTGTGGACCACATTCCCGCTTGACAACAGTACAAGAATCTGTATCCAAATGTTGAACTCACAAAATATAAACAGTTGTTATCCATAAAGTTTGTCAATATTCTACTGTTATCTATTTGGTAAAGTTAAAATGGGTCATATGTGATAGGTTTAGGTGAATTCAGGAAAAGAGCTGTTTCTATTTATTTTTTGTCATGAATAAACACCTTTCTTGTTTAGTTATTCATATGACTTTCTGTATATGTTAAAGATGGATTTTATATGTTTTAAATCTGAATATGTGTGTGTAGTGTTTCCAAGTTTTATGATTCGAAGAACAACATGAGAGATAAGAGTCGAGCCAAATTTGTATTCTGAATTCGCACATTAACAGCGTTTAAAATTCCCGACCGTCCGACCGTCCGGACAGTCAAATTTCAAAAGTAGCCTGTCAGGTAGTCTGGTAGATGTTTTTACCCTTAACAGTAAATGTTTCATAATATCAGACAGGTTTTCTTGTCGTCAGTTTGAGGTGTTTAAGGTATTATGATAATTATGTTAAACTATTTACGATTGGACAGTTCATTTTACAATAACCAATCAGAACACATGTACTTTCATCCTGGTTCCCTGGGTCTGTTGCGCCTGCGCTAACACTCCGACACTGTGGTTGCTGCATTCGTGACCCACTTGTGTTATTCCGGGACAAGCTGAATAGCGAGGTTACGGAAAGGGCGAACTGTGACGAATGTGGTTGCCTGGGTCAGTGTCGGAGCATTAGCGCAGGCGCAACAGACCCAGAGAACCAGGCTGATGTACGTTCAGTTTACCTAAACTCGGTGCATTGCCTGTTAGTGCTATGTTGTTCATTGCGATGCCTACAAGCAGTAAAGTATTCTGAAAACTCATCTTTTTTTTCATTGTTGAAAACCAGACAGGCAAGTTTTTATCCTGACTGGTAATTTTTTAAAGTTATCAGTACGTCTGTCTGGTGTGTAATTTTGGGAATTTTAAACACTGACATTGATACTGCAGTTCAATCCACTCATATCTCAAATCGCACAAACTGTAAGCAGACCTCACAGTCACAACGACACAGATTTCTTACGTTGGATTTGTAGAATACGTGCGACATTATGATGCATCAGAGAGTACACCATGACTTGGAAATTCACAAACATCCCATCGCACACATTTCGCATGCGCTCCAAGCACACGGTCTACAAGGGAGATAACTGTAATGAGTTGAACTGATGACCCCTAAGAAAACTTGACATTACAGTGTGAACACTCAAAATATGTATATTTGATTGTTGTATTGTACATTTATTACCATTTCAATCTGTTTGTGTATGTGTGTCTGTGTGTGTGCCTGTCTCTCTGTGTGTCTGTGTGTGTGTGTGTGTATGTATGCATGCCCCTCTCTGTCAGGAATCCTGGTTACAGTAGGTTTTCACTAAAGCTGAAGGCGTACTACATACCCTAGCCAAAATCATAATACAGAAACGTAGCCTAGGACGAGTCCATTCCGCATTGTGTCATTTTCATGTTTGGAACTGTCACACTGCATCTGCATTCAGTACACATCCCACTGACATAAGTAATACTTGTCAGTTGTCCTGAATATAAGACTGGTTAAATCTTCATGGGAGGTTATTGAGAATCTTACCTAATATTAGTGAGAGTGCCACTCATTTGCTCAATATTGAGTTTATCAATGACTTTTGGGTATGAATACTACATGGTCAATCAAATGTCAGTTTTGTTTTATATATTGACCAGTGCTCAGTGGTTTTAAGTCCCGTGAAGATCTGGGTTAGAATTGGCCTTCAGTAACCCATGCTTGTCGTAAGAGGCGACGAATGGAATCGAGTGGTCAGGCTCGCTGACTTGGTTGACACATGTCATCGTATCTCAGTTGCGTGGATCGATGCTCATGCTGTTGATCACTGGATTGGTCTGGTCCAGACTCCAGACAGCCACCATATAGCTGGAATATTGCTGAGTGCAGAGTTAAACAACAAGCAACCAACTGTATTTTTATGGGTTGGTCTTGATGTGACCTGTATTTCCCGTTTCAGGGCAGACCAAGCGAAAACTTGACAAATTTAGAAGGGATTCGTACTATGAAACCAGAGCCGCCAAGTCTGCAATGGAGTGTTTGAAAAGTGGCTGGGTTTTACTTAAAGGCTCTGAAAAATGTGGCAAGACATCACTGGGGCTGTACATTCTCAAAACCTTTGATCAGTCCTACATCCCACTTTATATCCAGAATCAAGGTGATTTGGAATGTATTACAGATCTGACTGGACTTGAAGATGTTAAAAAGGATGGTAAATCTGAAATGTTCGTCATTTTCATTGATGTTCCCTTTAAGAGGCATGATGAAGTTGATACCCACTTAACTGATGCAGTGGAACTTGCTAGCAGAGGTGCAGCTCATGTCATAATAAGCATTTCAACAAGGAACCTGCCAAAGCTGGAGAAATCTACTCTGCTTAAATGTCAGGGGAAGAATTCCCAACATGCAGTGACTCTACAAGACCTTCCTTTGCAAGAACATGAACGATATGAAATTTTGAAACTGAAATTAAAGCCACAGACAGTCAAATCTTTAGGACCAACAGAGGGCTCTCAAGAGGCGATACTTCAGGAGATTGCAAGGTTAACTGACCACCCCTGGTTCTTGATGGCCATTGAGTCAAGTGGCTCTAAAAAGGGCACAGAGCTAGTGACAAGCTTAAAGAACCCAGTTGGTTCCTTCATTCAGCAGCTTGAACACATGGCCGAAAACGAACAGATGAAATTTGCTGCACTTGTAATGATTGTGAAAGATGGTTTCTTATATGAAGCCAAGAATAGGCCTCCAAGATCACCCAAATCTCCACAACCATTTTTTGAAAATTTAAACAAGATACTTGACATACCAGGCATTTCACTGGGGAAGATTCAGGAAGCAGCAAAAGGTATGATAGGAGAGTACTTGATTTGCACAAACAAAAGATATACAGTTATTCATGAATCAGTCACTGATGCAGTGTGTCAAGTACTGTTTTCAAAAAGTGAAGAACTCATGCTTGAATGGTGCCCCCTCAGTTTTCTCATCCACAAAACAGTAATTCAAGACTGTGAAGACGAAGACACAGATAAACTCGCCATAGATGTTTATTTTGAAGAACCCTTGATCAGAAGGCTCTTGGAAGAGGAGTGTGTCATGGATGCTTTAAAATTTTCAGGATTTAATTCACGAGACTTTGTGAGAAACATTAAGAAGAAACTCAAGGAGAAAGTTACAAATTACAAGGATGTTCTTTTGCAAGCCATATCATTAAAGCATTTTCCATTGGTAGAGGAGATTGTACTGAACGTCTTGAGGACTCTGCCTGGGAGTGGAGAGTATATCAAGCATCTGGCTCTGGAAAGAGCTTGTGAGGCTGGCAACAAAGAAGCTTATGACCTGTTGCTTAGTGTGGGTGCAAAGGTCAACCTTCCCTGCATGGCTGCTTGCAAGGTGGGTAAATGTCCACAAATTATCCACAAAGTTTTAAAAGAGCTTGTTAACCAGTTTTATAACCTCTCTCCTGACACACTGAAGGAATGGATTTTGATTGTCATAACACATGGAGATACTGATGCAGTAAAAACCTTCATCACAAATCTCCAAGGAAGAAAAGGCAGACCTGACTTGATCGTCAGCGCCCTTGAGGTGGCTTGCAAACTTGGATCTCTTGATAAATACAACGCAGTTAGCTGTGATGGATTAAGTCCCAACTGGACAAGCCTGTTAGTAAGTGCCAGTGAAGGTGGAAATGAGAAAATCATCACACATCTCCTGGAGCAGAGAGACCATGCGACATCGGATGAAAAACCATGCAATACAAACCTGGAAGAGATGTTTCTTGCAGCTTGCAGGTTTAATAGAAAGGGTGCAGCAGAGCTCCTTCTGAAGAGAAACCCCAGTGTGTTAGATGGAGTTACTGAAACAGGCCAGACAGCTCTTCATCTTGCTGCAAGTGTTTCTCACATTGACAAACCAGACACTCTCACATGGCTTCTCACGGTGAAGACCTGGGACACCACCACCACTGACATTGATGGTTTTACTGCTCTGCATTCAGCATGTTTCACTGGGAATGTGACATGTGTGGTACAGTTACTGAAGGCAGGGTTTGATACACAGGCTCCAGATAAACATGGAAATACCCCACTGCATGTTCATCTGAAGGGAAGATTCATCAACAAACCAGTTGTTGAGAAGCTTGTCAGGGCTAAAAATGAAATTCCCAGAAACTCACATATCGCCAGTGTGCAAAACAATGACAAACAAACTCCTGCCCATTTGCTATGCATGAATTCAAATGGTATCATGGCATCTATTCTTCAGTTCTTGATGCAGGATGAAGATGAATATAAAATGGTGGAGAAAACTTACATTCATTCTATAACCATGAAAGATAGAAAAGGGCAAACTCCACTCCATACTCTCATCGCTTCGACAGGGACCACAGCGGTCTTAAGGCTCCTTCTTGAGAAGAGCAATGTGGATGTAAAGACAGCTGATGCTGAGGGAAACACAGTACTTCATCTTGCATGCAGGACAGGTAACGATGAAGTCATCAAGATGTTGATGCCGAGGACAGGTAATAGATTAACATACAAAGAGACAAATCAGCAAGGACAGACACCACTACATTGCTACGCTGAAAATGGCTGTGATGGGAAAATAACAGAACTTTTATGTAAAGATGTAGATGCAAAAGATTTGCAAGGTGAAACAGCTTTGCATCATGCTGTGAGCAAAGAAAATAAATCTGATGTTGTAAAAGCACTGATGAAATTAGGTGCAAATCTGAACTCGACAGATAACAAGGGGCAAACTCCGTTGCATAAAGTCTCCAATGTGTCACATGGCACAAGCGTGGAAGTTGCTCAGATGCTTGTACAGGGACTTATCAATAAACCACAGAGAGCAGACGTCAGTATTGCAGACAAAGAACAAATGACAGCATTGCATCATGCCTGTGTATCAAGAGGAGTGTGCAGTTCACTGGTTGCAGAGTTTCTTCTGTCTTGCAAAGGAGATATTTGGAGTCAGAATATGCACACACACTTACCAATCCATATCTGCTGCATTGAATGTTCCAAATACAGTCCAGCTGTGCTGAGAGTTCTTCTTAAGCATCTTCATACAAGTCCTGAATCAAGAGATGTCCAGCGAATGCTGTCTGCTGGTGACAAGTATGGGGACACCCCTCTACACAAAGTATGCCTGTCTTCAGGGCAGTGGAGGAAAGAAGTTGCTGAAATCCTTATTGATGCTGGAGCTGATCTTACTCAAGCTAATTCTGCCGATGATACCGTCATGGACATAGTGATAAGGAACCGAGTAAATGATTTGAATGAATTGATGATTATGAAAGCACTCATGAGAGCATGTAAGCTAGACATCAAAGTCCAAAATTTGGAGAAGTTACTGTCATGTGATCACATTAACAGTGACAGCCTGTCCCTGATGCTTCAAAGACTTGTACAGTGTGATGAACAACACACTGTCGGTGTCCTGGAGAGGCTGATTCAGAAAGGTGCTGACATACACCGAACCACTGCCGATGGTCTGACTATGATACACCTGGCTGCCACAACACAGGGGGAGTTCACTGATCGCATTATTGGGTTCCTCATCTCAAATGGAGCTGATCTGTGTGCAGAGGACAAGGGAGGGGAAAGTGCTTTACATAAAGTGGCTGAAGGAATGACTCCCCATTGTGCAGGTCTTATAAGATTTCTTCATTCAAGCGGAATACCAATTGATGCAAAGGATTCCATGGGAAATACTGCACTTCACAAGCTGTTTTCAGCTATGCCCAAACTGAGTGAACACTACAGAACTTGTATGGAAGTACTTATCAAACTGAAATGTCCTGTTGATTCTCCTAACAAACAAGGACATACCTCTTGTGCATTGGCTAAGAAACATGGTGAGACGGTCATAAAAGAACTCCTGCACACATATTGCACAAAACTAGATATTCTGGACTCAAATGCCTTGAAAGACATCATAGCAAATGGAGCAGATATCAACAGCACGGACCTCGATGGAAACACAGTGCTACACAAGATATGCACAAGAAGGGTTTCCTTTGTATGTAACAATGTTAAGGTCTTGCTGAAGCTTGAAGCTGACAAGTTCTTGAAGAACAAGGAAGAAAAGCTGGCATTTGACTTAGCTTGTGATACGGGACTGGATGAGGATGTGAGAGAGTTGACTGTGACCGAGAGGCCTTCACCAGAAGATCTAGATACCGATGGGGCATCAGCAGCCACAACTCCAACTTTTCCTCTTCCTCGTCCAAAGTGGGTAAGGAGGTCACCCTCAGAAGACTGGGTATATGATTTTCGGAATGGGATGACTGGTATTAGGAATGCAGCCGGCATGGACCACATGGACGATGAAATGGAAAACTTTGAAAGAAATGCAAGGAGAAAACTGAACAATCACTTCAAGCAATACTTGTGACTATTAGGGCGATGATTTCAAAGAAAATCATTTATCATGTATGTGAAGCATCAACATATGATTTACACAATATGTGATTATAGTTTGTACATATTCACGTTGAAGATATACCATGGAGATCACACTTGAGATATTGCATAATCATAGGACTATTGTATTATTTTTAATAACACCCTCCAACCTGATCTCGAAATCCCTTGATATTACATACTTACCTTGGAAACAGACTAAGCGTACAACAGCTTATGTAGGAGTAATTCTGAAGTAATACAGTTTTTGGACAATTATTGCTTTGGTGAAATCCAAGAGCATGAATAGGGTGATTATAAACATGTTCTTTGTAAGTCTGGGTCAGGGAAGCAACTCTCTGCAAGAATAGTGGCACTTGGGAAGCCTGGCTCACCTGTGACTGGGACCATGTCAGCATGGAATAGTGGTGCTTGTGAAAGTGGCACTGCCACACAGAAATAGGGGCACTTGCCAGGCATCGGTTTTAGGCTGTCCAGCCACTGGGCTTCAAGTAAAGCCTGTCAAGTTCTGAATGATGATGAATTCATTGCGTGAGTCAGATGATGGAAGGAAAGCTGTTGTGAAGAGGCCTCACTCCATTAGAGTTCATGCAGAATGCATAAGGACATTAGAAAGGAAATTTAAAGAAGTGGACAAAATGGCCAATCAACAGACAGGTAGTATCTTCAGATGCTGGACAATCAGTGAATTGGTGGAAGCATCTATAAATAGAATGGGGAAGTCCTAATGAAGCTGAAGATGGCTGTGAAGATTTACAGGTTGTAGTTATTAGTTGTGTGACTTTCAGTATACATAAATAGTGGTACTTGTATAGAGTTTTTACCACCTACACTGATTCCAAGTGAATGTGACTTACCTGTTGCAGCTGTGATATGGATAAAATTGGGCATATTGAATGAAACATAGTAAAGAAAATACTTGAAATACTTGTGATTGAAAGGATCCATGTTATTAGATTGTTTGAACAACAATTAATTCAAACATGAATTGTGTTTATCTTAAAAATAGTTTATTGCTGTTAATGGTTCTATATTTGTTGTTGTAATGTACATTATTTTGTTTTGATTGATACTCATGCTGTTGATCACTGGATTGTCTGGTCCAGATTTGATTATTTACAGACCGCCGCCATACAGCTAGAATATTGCTGAGTGCGGGTAAACCTTAAACTCACTCACTCCCTCACTCATTTATTGACGTTTATACAAGACAAACCAAACTTGATTTTGGAAACAGGTATTACACAAATTTGAAAACTTTAATCGAGAGGCTTTTCTTTTACCCCAAAATATGCCCCAACAATAGTGGTTCAGACCATGTACATAAGTGGTGAAACTATTTGCAGTGTCCCTGCTGCTAATTTAAATGTTGGCACTCTGGGATTGATCCAGAGATAACACTAATACGTTTACTGCACTAAATGGCAATAAATGAAATTTCAGACTTGCATTCTGTCAGTTTTACTCTATGTATCGGGGCGGTGGGGTAGCCTAATGGTTAAAGCGTTGGCTCGTCACGCCAAAGACCCGGGTTCGAATCCCCACATGGGCATAATGTGTGAAGCCCATTTCTGGTGTTCCCCGCCGTGATGTTGCTGGAATATTGCTAAAAGCGGCGTAAAACAAAACTCAGTCAGTCAGTACTCTATGTATCAATTTAGCCATTTAAAATGAAGCTAGATATTATATGTGTTTCAAATACTTCTATTTAAATGTACAGTGGAAGCCCTCTAAACCGGCATTCGTTGGGGCAGGCAAAAAATTCCGGTATAGAGGATGTGCCGGTTTAGAGAACTTTTCCCTTTTCAACCTGAGAATGATCTTCCGTGTGTCCTAAAACTGAACGTGTTGTGAAATACGGAATAGACTGACACCGGATTAGAGGGCATGTAAATGATCATAGATTAACTAGTTTCTGTCAGGGACCAAATTCTAGTGCTGATATTGAGAGCATGCCGGATTGGAGGGCTGCCGGTTTTGAGAGCTTCCACTGTATATATTTTGATAGATAATATTATATATATTTTAAAAGATGCGTCCAGATATTTCTTCTGTTAAAAACTTCTTTATCTACACAAGATCTTTCACCGTTCAAAAAGAACAGCACATGGAACTGTCTTCCTTTTGACATTAAATCTTCAGAATATCTTAAGATCTTTAAGTCTTCCTATTGACATTAAATCTTCAGACTATCTTCAGATCTTTAAGTCTCGTTTGAAAACTTTATCTCTTTCAACTTGCCTATGCTGATGAATTCTCCTACTGAACATTTTGGTACACTTCAAGCATACATTGTGTATGGAGATAAGTGCTAAAGAAATGTACTATTATTATTATTATCATTATTAAAGTATTGTTTCTAAATAGAAGGGAAGAAATTCATTTCTGTAATCATAAGAAATCTGTACTAAAAGCAGAATGAATTGGACTATATCATAAGCATGTGTTTATGAATCATTATGAAATAGTGATGATATCAGTTTGCAGAAAGTGGGCATATCATCTGCCACCTGTTGCACCATCACAAACACATGCCAAGGCAAGTCAATTTTAGTCTATAAGGAACATATGGTACACATCAAAATAGGGAATTGCACTCAATGTCACAGATTTGAAGAATCCTGAAATCTACACAAGTCCAAAACATTTTGTAAAAGCTTTAGAAAATATAAGAATTTAGAAATGGTATGCACCAAAATTTTAGGAGATAATGTATAATATTAAAGATATGTATATGGTATTGATTAGAATATTTTCATTAAAAAAATAATATATTTTCAATATTAAGTTATTTTCATATTTTGAAAAGCTAACCCTCAGTTTTGCAAAAGTAAACCAGATGTGTATGTACAATACATAATTATGCTTATTATACAACCTATTTGTTGCATTACTTGATTTTAAGTGAACTACGTGAGGTAAAATTTTGTATTATGCTGTGCACATATATTTTTTATCCTTAATCTTTACAATTTCACAATTTGTCTTTTAAGTACACTGAATATTTGCAGAAATAGTTTTCAAGGCAGGGAGGTAATCCCATGCTGCATCAAATCTATATCATGTTATTCCTACTATACAGTATGAAAATATTTATGTCTTTGGGGAAATAGTTAACACATATTTCTAGCAGGATTTTTGAGAACTATGTACAATGGTTCATATATGTGCATATATTTTACTTACTTCTAATGTTGACCATGTTTTCAAATGTGGTACATTGTATTTGTTGCAGTCATGTAGAATAGTTCACATACTAGATTTCCTCACATTAATCCCTCTTTTAAAATGTATTAAAACCTTGTATATATATCTTTGAATTATTTTATGAAATTAAATATGTGATATTTTTTCCCATTTAATTAAATTTTGATATAGCATAATGGCATATTTTTGTGACACTTTTTTAGATTTTATGAGCTATTTAGTTCAGCAACAATTTCACAGATTGGTACATTTTGTGGATTTGGGAATTATTGTTACAAGTTTCAGATTATTCTTTGCACCTTAAAAATCAATAATTGATTGTTTTGTTTGTGCAATCTTTTTGATTGGATATTGTTTCAACACATTTTCTGCTGACAGCTTTGTAGTTAAGCCTATCCATTCATTAAATACTCTCTATCAAATCTTTGCATTGGATACTTGCCTTTCAAAAATGTTGATGAAGAAAGGTCAAGCTGACCTGGGTTTTTTTAGTGAGTGTACAGGAGTATTTTTGTATCACGTAGGGCATAGATTCCACATTGTTAGGGAAAATTGAGAGAAGAAAGTGTTTAATTATTTCACGTTGGAATGAACATTCAGGATGGGCAGGAGATTGAAAACACAAAATAATATGGACAGTCTTTTTTCGTGTATCTGGGAGCAGTTGTACACCTATTATAGCCTTGACAATGCACTAACCAGGTCTTCAGTAACATGTGGCCATGGACATGACTCATGTTCATTATATACTACTCAATTTTTTATAAGGATGGATTTTTTTAAATCTTATTATTTATATATTATATTTAATTATTACTCACCCGTGGCAGATACTGCAGTGTAATATTTTTACGGCAATATTACACAAGTGTAATACCGCTGGACGTATGACATCATAATGATTTTGCTTGTTTGATACCAAATCATTAACTCGTTTAATAAATATGGTATTACACAGAAGGTTGTTTAGTATCCTCTATGTAGAGTGACATGTTTAATGATCCTTATGAAAGGTTGAGTAGCATATTTGAAGTTAATAGCAAGACTTAGTACTTAACCACCTGAGTCTTGTTTTTGTAGATAGTAGTTTGATATGTGTGAAGTATTAACAAACCACAACGTTTTTAGCTCATGGGTTGGTGCAGTTGATATACATGTCCAGTAAACAACGATTATGATGAAGTCAAGAAGACCTCTAATTTATAAATTATTTTCTTATAACCAAGTTCATTGTACACATTTCAACTATAATGTCACTGGGACAATAAAACAAAACAAAAACCAGGGGTGAAGCTACCATAATAAAAAAAAGCCCAGGCTTAACCATGATTGTTGCAAGCCCTCAATACTATCTAAATATGAAGCTTTGTAACTATCAAGCTTACACGAAAAAAATTGCTTGCTACACTCCTGAAAACAGTTAATTAAACCCATCAGTTCGTTATAAGGTTTTGGTTAAAAACGTAGTTTACTGTATGTAACACTTGTTTTATTGGTTGTTGTGTTTTATTTACAAATACTATTGGGTTGTTTCTGTGATTGTTGGTGGCAGCTAATTGAAGCACTCGTAAATACTAAGACCCTGGGTCCCGATCCACTAAGCGTTCGTAACGTTACATGTTGCACACAGTGTATGAAATGGGCCAGAGACCCAGCCACACATCAGGGCTGGTAACTGCAAAATAATACCAGCCCAAAATGGATTTAACCAGACACTAAGATATGGTGAATTTACTCAGATGTATGGGAAATCTAACATTTTTACCAGACCATCAGGCTGGCTTGCTGTCAATTTTGACCAGAAAATCTAGCCCATCTCGGGCGATCAGATGGGCCTTATTTCATACACTGTGGCAACTCTATTAGTTTGTCATAGGCTTATGAATGTTGCAGCACTACGAACTTTTGTGGACCCTGATAAATTACAAGTGTTCTGGTGATACTTCCAAAGATGGGACAGTAGAATCCATTAGTGTCGCTACCAGCTTGACACCTTCATTACTCTTCCAGCAGTATTAAGCTCTCCTCTGTGAGCAAACACTGACATTCTGCCCGCTTCCAAAACTGGGTCCTGATCCGCAAAGCGTTCATGGCATTAAAACAGTCGTAACTATATAGTTTATTATAGAATTTCGAATGATGTGGTCCTACGAACGCTTTGTGGATGGGGATCCTGCATCCCAGATTCCAGAACAGAGCATTAGCATCATTCAG